AATTATAGAAACTTCTACCAGCTCTAACTCAAAATATTGACAATTCTGTGTTAAGGGGGGCCAAAATTCAGTTTGACAGCTTCAAACATTCTAATTTTTGACCTTTTTTAACTGGACCAAATCACTACTTAACATAATGATTCAGCACCCAAATTTTTTTAACATGTAATTTCATCCTCTTACTTAATATTTCATGCATAAAATATCAAGAAATAAATTGGGAAAGTGTATCAAAAAAAAATGCAAGTTATACATTGTTCACACTAGGGACTATATTCGTAAACCAAAGGACGATAACTGTGTCCTTGGACCAAATGCAATTTTGACGGGTCTTTACTTAGTGTGGTCATAAACTATGATTCATAACAGTACAAAAACAAGTCTGCTATTAAAGGGGCGCAATAAGTGCCCATTGGAATACCTACAACCTGTCGATAAACTTTGTTGCCAAAACGTACATAAATATTATCAAGGGGAAATTAACAGCTTCAATCATCTCATCCCACCTCCAATAAGTATATCTAGCATATTTACCTTTCACATTAGAGAAGAAGGCTTTAAATGAATTGCAGCAAATATATTTGCATTCAGATTTACCAAACGACCATTTAATTAAATAAGAAAACTTTTGTTTGATAAGATTGTGTGGAGGTGTAGTGTAAAGAGTAGAAAATTTGCATTCAGATCTACAAAACGACCATTTAATTAGAGTAGAAAAGTCAAAACTGTCAACAGAATCCAAAAGACCATCAAAAACATCTAACTTATTTAAATCATCCAATTTTTTTCACTCCAAAATAGACGATTTTATGCTAAAACATGATATGTTTTCCACTCAAAGGGTGGGACATATAATATTTTATAATATTTTGTGTACCATTACATATGAAATCAGTGTTTCCTAGTCAAACCAGATAATAATATTTTATTTTGTAATTTCTGCCGAAAAAGAAATGTATTTTAGAATATTCAAATAAATAAAATCTGATTCGGATTATAGTTTCGTGCTCAATGGAATTAATTACGACTATTTAGATATGTATGCCTTTTAAGTTTTGTGATCGATTTAATGAGGAACATATTCAAGTTTGTATCAAAGCAGGTTTGGGGGGTAAGCTGCAGATCAATCAGATTTTGTTTAGAAGCGACATGTCTTTAAAATTGATACAGTAAAAAAAATGGAGGGAAGGGAAGTTAAAGATTGAAAAGTGTAACATTATTTTCTGTTTACATATTAATATTTTTAATTTAGGTACATCTCCACATGGGAAGGTCGACTATTCATATGTATTATATATTGATAGAAACAAGTGTCTGTGTACATCTCTCTTTGGTTCACCTTCCTAGAATTATTGAGGGAAAGAAAGACAATTAATCTATACACAACAACCAGTTTAGTTATGATTTTTTATGCACCGATTCAAAAGTACACTCAAGGGAACTAAAACTGTATGAAATGTAGGTTACTCGTCAATAAGACAGCAACCAAACGACAAGAACAAACTAAGGACACCTAGAAAGCAACATATAGTATAATTTCAACAATAGATAGGTGTCTACACAATATTTCCATTTCTAATTCGTCACTATAACATATTCTAGTTTGAACTCGTTTCTTCTTTGTTTTAAAGTTTCAAAGAATTTTTATTATGGCAGTCCATGACCATGATGACATGCTTCTTCTTTCATTTTGTTGCAAATCAGGCAAGACATAATCTCGTTTAATACAAGTTCAATTCATATTAACCTTTTAAACTACTTACAACAGGTACCATCGACTTCAACTGTATGGAGATGCAGTATGAAGATGCCGTATGTACTTCGTAGCTTATCTTTTGAAAATGTGGTAGATACTTTACCTAGTAACACGCGTCTGTCAAGATAAATGGCGAATAACAAAACACAATATTCGGTACCGTAAGTTTAAAAAAGAAAGTAGAACATGACGAGTCGAACATACAATATTGTATGAATAAAAGGAGAAAAGTGACTGTGCTCCAGTACCACTCAAGTTAGATCATAAGGTCACGATTAAAAATTGCCTCGGGTCACCAGGTCACTTTTAAGCAACTATTCAGTTCTAAACTGATTTGATTCTCAGTTTTAACATTTTAAAGGTCACATGTACTTTCAAAAGAGACGCCAGGTCGCAACGTGGTCAATCCCCCCTTTGACGTCCCAGGTCGGACTTGACAATGTTGTAGCCACATATAGGGTGAATGCATCCAACTTGAACATTTGGATCCTACTACCTAAAGTTATGTATGGCAAAGTGTCCATACCATTTACATATTTTGGCTATGGTTTTTTCACTTGGGATACGTACATGTAAGTGTTTCATTCATCAATCAAATACCTTTCTTGGCACAAACTCATAAACAATAAATGATAAAAACCTATTGCATATTATTGTATATACAATGATATTAACAGACGTGATCGAATGAAAAGTTATACATACTAATATATCATAATATTATTAATGATAACAATATGTGGGACTTGATAAAGCATAGAAATATACAAAGCTCAATAGAATTGGTATGTAATGCGTTCTTTCCAGTGCGGCAAACAGTGAAGTTAATCCCAGTGTGTAATGTGTGTTCGAATAAACCGTTAATCACACGTTCTCTTTGGATTAAACGAGATCTTTTGTATACATATATAAAAAAAAAGCAGAGACAGATCCAGAGTTTAAGGAAAGAAGGAGGCATAATTGTCCAAAAAGATAAACATACCACCAATGTTGTTTTTTTGACGATTTTTAAGCAAACAATTAGATGATATCAATCAAAAGGGCCCTTTAAACCCACATTGATCTTCGGCTATGTCAGGAAGATTTTCTATAGGTGGTTCCTCAAAATACAGATTTTGTTTCGTTTCGTTGTGTTTCGTTTCTCAATTTACATGTTTCGTTTTGTTTCGCCATGTTTCGTTTCGTTTCGCTCTGTTTCGTTTCTGTTCCGTTTCTCACTTTACCGGGACCCGCTACCAAGGGTTTTTCACAAGTATAGTAGTTTAGCAGAAAAGTTCCAGTTTCCAAAATACACCAAACTATACATTTTACCTACTAGTATTTCGTGAAGTAAAATGCAAATTTCATAAGGTTTGATCCAAATAGCTTTTTACTGTCCAATATCTTAAGCTTGCAAGTGGGAAAAAGACCGTACAAAAGTATATTTTGTCTATGTTTTGTAATTGCACAACTATTGAGAGTTGATCATGCATTCGTTCTAAAATAAAATTTTACACAAGATAAAAGATAAGATACTAAGTGAAAAAATTAGACAACAGCAATGGGTAAATCGCTTTGACTTCTGAAAAAGATAATAGCCAACACATGAATTGTTACTTTTAAAGAACGTGCGATACCACAAAAATTGTTTATCAAAACATAACAAAGACGCAAGTAAAGAACGTTTAAGTATTCAGTATTAATCAAAACACAAAGGTTATTCCTGTACTAGTTTTTCGAATTATTTGATTTAGGCGTTGAGAACCTTTGGTGACCCCACAGTTAAAATGTCTATAATAAATACCACGTGATAAGTGGACGTTACAGGCGAACGTTCACCTAATTTAACCCAGTCAATGGGAGATTTGAGCACGTCAAAAAATAGTCTCGTCCACACGGTTATGAAAACGATACTAAATGGACTTAGTTTTTTTTACATTTAACAAATAAATAAATTCTTGGATTAAAGTTTGTTACACATCAATTATTTTGTCTAACCTTCATAGAATTTTATGAAACTTTGGCAGAAGCAATACTCTTAACCAGTTTCATGAAATCTCAACATAAAACTCAATTAAACTCAACAGTATTTGTAATAATATTAGTACTTTATTCAAAAGCAATACAGCTTTGTAAGCGGCTGTCAGTATTAAAATCATCTAATCTTCAGAAATCAAATTAGAATATCTAATGGGAGCCCTTGGTTTTAAAAGATTCCTAGATTATAAATATTAAAATTTTTAATGTTTTAGTTCTATTTTTGACATAATAATAGAAGGAAATTTTCAGTAGTCTGTGGTATATGTAACCATGTAAAATTGCATTTTGTGTTTTTGCGGGTTACATTCAATACACTCATAAAATTAACAAAATATCAATATCTCATACTAATAAAACTTATATAGCAACATGTTGAAGGTTAAACATTTATCAGTATGCTATCTATAATATAATACAAGTACTGGTAAATAGTTAGAATTACAATTTAAAATGTCTGTAAAGTGCCTCAGAATGTTGATAAGATTTTGCAGAAAGCTGAGGAATGGTAACAGTTTGATGCCAGGTAAAACAGGATATAATTCATACCAGAGTCTATCATACAGATATTGTTTTATCCTGAAAGCTTAAGGTCTCCTTTAAAAACTATAAGCCTGATATCTTTGATGAGATTTTTTACAAATACAAAACAAAGGCAAAATAAGTGTTTTCATTGTAAGAACAGCTATGATCATAATAATTGTTGAATTGTTCTTTTTGGTCATATAGCTCTTCAAATGTTTCAGGTCTTATATATCTTTGGCTTTCAAATATTCGACGTTCCTAATGATGGTAAATCCAGAAAAGCGCTTTGGACGCATGAAATTTAGAACGTGTTGTTTTCGTTTTTTGAAAATGCTGTAATACATATAGAATACATAAAAAAGCTTACTTCAGGAAAATATACAAAATTTAAGCAGATTAGTTTAAAAAAAAAAAACATTTAACCGACACTTGCTAAATACATTTCAAATAAGTCATTAAGGTGAAAATTTCAGTGAAGATGAAACCACAGCTTCAACAATTGTTGTGTGTGTCAGTTTAAAGGGATCAAGTTATGGTATGACACTGATATTTTGAATGCAGTTGTATTAGCATTGCCACATTTGAATCTGTGAAGATTTTCCCCCCTGCCCCTTCTGTCACGGTCTTTTGTGTCAACAGTATATTTTCTTGGTTATAAAGACTTTCAAAACCAGTGTTATATTATTTTTAATTTACTTTATAGGAATGACGACACCTGGCCTTGTCATAAACATTTGGAGTACGATCATCAGACTCAGACTCAGAATTCAACCAATCAAAATACTGGATTTGTTCCTTCGAGCATACATTTTGTACTCTGAGTATGAGTATAGTTTTATGACCAAGAGCCCTGGTTCTCAAACAGAAAAGGACATTTTAAAAAACATTGTCTTTCAAGTTTAAAATATTGATTTTGAGAAGTGCTTTTAATGTACCTAATGTATGAGAACTATCAGAAATGTTAATACCCTGAAATCTATTGAGATTTGTATTCTGTGCTATAAAAAAAAACCCAAAAGGATGGAAAACAGCTGGTCCAAACATCTTTGCCATTAACATGATTAAGCAAAAGTTTGATTTGTTTTATTGTCTGTATGAATAACTTTTTAATTTTTTATCATTTCTGTTTGATGTTGTCATAAAACAAAATGTCAGATAAGGTTTATATAAGACTGACTTATTGAAATGTTCTTTACCTTCATTTATCATATACTTAGCATTAATATGATAGCTTTTGCATATGTGTAATGAACGGAAGTACACAAGCCATAATTTCCCACCCGGGCTGATAACCCATACCAGGGGCGTCTTGTGCAAAAAACCCATAACAGTGCCTCTCGTGCAAGTTACTTCCGGTATTTCCGGTATCGTATGTTTACTTTTCCATTGTGTCATCAGATATTTTTTATTATGACGTCAAAATTTTACGGGAACTTTTGGGATGTCCAGTAATGGCGGACAAATAGCGATAAGGTTTATTGGATCCAGTGGTAAATCTGTTTATATAGAACCAGCTGTTATTGAAAAAAAGATGTTAACATGGCTAAATCCGATGATATAGATTTTCAAAATGATGCTAGTTTACAATTAGTACTTGCTAACAAATGCCATTGACAATTATGAATCATCTCATATAGTACAACATGTAGTAATAATGATCATAAAACTGTAAATACTTCCTCCATGCTTCCAGCTTCCAAATTTTTAATGTTTCAAAATGCCTCTATAGGAAATGGTACCATAATATATATGGAGGTAGTGATGCTATTGTTGGATAATTATAGTGTATTTGTTGGATTCATGATTTAACTTCTTTAAAAAGTTTTTGACTGTTTTAGTTATTTCATTTGTTTATTTGCCTTACATAAAACAATTGTCGGAAGTATATGATAAAGAGATTAATACATGGCCTTTTCCATATCGGCCCGGGTATCATCCCTCGACCCATAGCAGCACCTCGACTACGTCTCGGGCTGATATGGGGGTCTCGGGATGATACCCGGGCCGATATGGAAAAGGCCATGTATTAATCTCTATGTAAAATGACAGATTTATATTTTTTTATGCCTGTTTACACTTTACAGGACGTATTATTATGGCAAGTCGTTTTACTATTTATTCTAACTTCAAGATATCTAATAAACTTTATAAGATATCTCATATAGTTTATAAGATATCTCATAATTTATAAGATATCTCATATAATTTTGTTTATAAGATATCTCATATAATTTTCTCTATAAAATATTTTATAAATTATCTGAGATATCTTAATAACTATATGAGATATCTTATAAAATATATTAGATATCTTATATAAAAAATATAGTTATAAGATATCTTATATAAAAAATATTTATAAGATATCTTATAAACTTTATAAGATATCTTATATAATATATAAGATATCTCATATAATATATCAGATAGATATCTTATAAAAACTAGATTATATAAGATATCTTATATTCTATATGAAATATTTTGAAGTTAGAATAATAGTAAAACTGTTTGCCATATATTATACAATTATAGCCTTTGTATGAGGTTAATACAAGGATATATTGACCTGAAAGAAGTAAATTGATTGAGGACGAAGGCTGTAATTGTTATATTATTAATTTCCTACCATAGTTGTATCAAAATCATCAGTGTATTATATTCTATTTTTCATTCATTTAATTTTGTTGAAATTTTATAAATATCATATTGTCTCTTTGACAATTACAACATATTAGTTGTTATTTCAATTATTTTTTATGTTTTTTTGTGTACATCTTAAATATTTGAAGATTTTTTTTCAAATAATCGATCATAAATATACAATTTTAAAAAACTTTTAACAATATCACGAAATTCATTAGATTATATGTCACAAAGTATATCAGTTTTCAGATATTCTAAAACTAACAGTGCAATATCACTTTTCTATCCGCCGTTTTCAATCGACCTTTGAAAATATAGTTTAACATGTGACTATTCCTGAACGAATGAAGTTAGTCAAAATAAACAAATTTATAATATTATGATATACCATTGTCCGTCTGTCGTCAACATGTTGGACAATAACTCAAAAACACTTTCACCAATTCTCATGAAACTTTGAAGAATTGTTTATATATATTGACATAAGCTCCCTCTTTCGATTTTTATAAATTTTAGATTTTAAGTTTCCGAGTACTGTGACTTTATTCATAAATAAGGGGGGATTTTCCAGTATTTCTGATAATAACTCAAACATGCTTTTAACAGTTATCATGAAACTTTGTTGACTTGTTTATATCTATTAAAATAAGCTCCCTTTTGTTTTTGATAAATTTCTGATTTGACATTAATGAGTTATGGAACTTTATTAGTTGAAAAATTGTTGAAAACTGTCCAGTTTTCACACTTTGGACAGTTATAGAATTTTATTTGTTAAAAAATCGAGGCCACAAACTTAATTAAACTTGAGGTAGCCTTAATAGTGCCAAATTGTTCATTTTAAAAATAAGGAGATGTGGTACGATTGCCAATGATACAACTATCCACCAAAGTTCAAATGAAGTGGATGTAAGCAATTATAGGCAACCGTACGGCCTTCAACAATGAGAAAAAACCCATACCCTGTGGTCGGCTATAAAAGGCCCCGACATGAAAAATGTGAAACAATTCAATTGAGAAAACTAAAGGCCTAATTTATAACAAAACAGTTTACGAAAAACAAATATGACAGACATGAATCAATGACAACCACTGAACTACAGGCTCCTGTACAGGCACTTAAAGAATGTGGCAGGGTTAAACATGTTTGTGAGTGCTCAACCGTCCCTGAACCTTGGACAGTTGTGTAACAGTACAAAACAAGAACAAACTATAAAAATCATGTTTTGTGGCAATGGGTACCACTCAGGCACTGTGTGTGCATGTCTTTTTATTAGGGGATGGGTCTATTTTAGCAGTGCTCTCAGTATTTGTAGTTGATCATATAAATTATTTAAAGCATAAAGACGAGCTAAAAAGGTGACGGTGTATCATGCGCTCATGGCACAGCTTTTTATTTAAATATTAAAATATAAAGATTTTTTCAGGAAACTAATACATTTGGTTGATGATAGTCTGTAGGTGTTTCTACTTTTATGGAGAAAAAAAATCATAGTACCAAAAATAGAGAAAATAAAAATGACAACTATACCTTTAATCTATGGAAATTGCACAACAACAATTTCAGGAAAGACTAAATATCTGTGTGTGTGTCAGGGTATATATATATATATACCTCCCAGCATGAGTTCGAATAATCACGAGGGAAGAACAAAAATTTGCTTATATATGTATTATGTAAGTTTACAAAACTACTTTGGCAAATGGTAGAGGTGAGTTTCAATACTTTCACCACAATAATCATGTTCATACATTGACATAAATGCTGGATGTGCCTAAAAGTGAGAAGACCTTTTTTTATCTAGATATGTTTAAACAAGGAATTATTTGAATCTGGAATAATTTTGAATTCTGGAAAATTGATAAGAAATGTATGATAAAAACTAACCAAACTAAAGAGGGTTATTAACCATGCATGCATGGCTTAGAGGTTAATTTTACTTTCACTGATATTTCAGTATGAACTAACTACCTGCCTTAGCAATGCATGAATGGCTTATCCGCCTAAATGGGGTTTAAATTTTCATCATACATTTCTTATCAATTTTCCAGAATTCAAAATTATTCCAGATTCAAATAATTCCTTGTTTTACAAGGCATGTGTTTAAGGATGTGATAAAACTTCATCCTGCATTTGTTTTTTGGTTTTAATGTGGAATTTTCTTTTATGTACAGTATTATTTTAAAATATTATTAACAATCAATGATGTGATAGAACTGCTTTTGTTTTTATTTTTACTGTAAAATGCAATGATCTTTTAAGTATTAGATTTCAAAATTTAGGGCAAAATGTTTTTTGATGTTTGTCATACAACGGAGGATATAGTTATAATAAGGGCCATTATTTGGCTTCTTACATGGCAAAAATTATACAAGTGCTTAATCCATTCAAAACAATGTCAGTTCTATTGATAAACAGAATATATATAATCTGGACACTCAAGTTTAGAATTGTTGATTGTGATGTCACTAAGATGTCTTAAATAGGTTGAAATAAGACGTATTTGGCCTAAAATAGAAAGTTAACACATAGTAAATGTAATGAGTTAAGTCATTACCCACATTTACATCTTTTTATGAGACATCATGACAAGACCTTTTAAGTGCATCATATATTTTGTCTACAATGGGGGTAGGGGAGTAAATATATTGAATATAGTTAAGATTCCAACCCATTAACCATATAAATATTCATATATAGCCATGCACTCTTTACTTTAAAGAACCCTTGAAACAACACTGAGGTGTATGTTGGAGGCCTGTTGCAATGCAAAATTTGTCTTTGTCCATCATATCCTCAGAAGTTTTTTACTCCTTTTTGAAGTAATTGCCCTTAAATGAGGATGTTTCACCCATTTTTAACATTTTAAAATGTGTGTATATAATCTTGGAAGTATAATTTAAAAAAATTACTTTTTAGTTCTTGATTTATTGGCAAACAGCAATAACATGAAACACTAATCCAAATTCTATTAAATTTAATCATGATACAGCACATCAAATGAAATAAAGGATTAATCCCCAGGGGTCACCCCATCTTCGCTAGCCAAGGGTTACGATCCAGAGAGGAGGGAAGTGGATCGTAACCCTTGGCTAGCGAAGATGGGGTCACCCCACCCCCTGCCATTTGAGAAAGTTCTAATATCTTGTAAATGGTCGAGATCCCCACCCCTAAACCATATATATTCCTATTCATCATGTCACGAAGATTTTAATGATATATAGCGTCAGTCCCCAGGGATCACCCCACCCCCTGCCATTTGAGAAAGTTCTAATATCTTGTAAATGGCGAAAATCCCCACCACTAAACCGTATGTATTCTGGTTTGTCATGCCAAGATGATTTGAATGATATACAGGGTAAGACCCAAGGGGTCATCCCCACCCCATGTCATTTAAATATGTTTAAATGTCTTGTAAATGGTCAAGATCCCCACCCCTAAACCATATATATTCCTGTTCGTCATGTCCAGACCTGACTATCCTGATTTATGGGGGATATCCCCCATAAGAGGTGTTGACCTGAATTTTGAAATTCTTTATTATATAAACTTAAAACCTTAAAACAGGCATTCAGTTAGTAAAAAGGGTATTTAAGCACATATATACTAATTCAAACAATACAGTAGTTGATTAAGAACACTTATGACAATATAAGAGGAGCATAAGGTTCTCTTGTGCTTAAAATCCCCCATGGAGATTTTGAAAAGTTGGCAAGTGTGCATGTCACGAAGATTTGAATGATATATAGGGTCAGTTCCCAGGGTCACTAATGCATATCACTTTACTGGACCAAAACAATTTTTACTGGACTTTTCCCTATGTCTGGCAACCATGGGAATGACTGTAATTATGGGAACTTTGTTTGGGAGACTTCGTAACAGCATCCTGTTAAAATTATTTTTGTATTTTATGCATTTAAAAAATGAAATGTTCATGGAAAATATTTTTGATCTTCATAAAGGTATTTCATACTTGTATTACAAACTTCATACTGGCATGACTGTTGTCCTTGACGGAAGACCTATACATTTTGTACTCATATGCCCTTGTGTTAGAAGTGTCATACTGCCATGTCTGTTGTCTTTGATGGAAAACCTATATATTTTGTACTCATATGCCCTTGTGTAAGAAATCTCATGTCTGCTGTCCTCGATGGAAGACCTACATATTTTGTACTCATATGCCCTTGTGTAAGAAGTCTCATGTCTGGCATGACTTCTGTCCTTGATGGAAGACCTACATATTTTGTATTCATATGCCCTTGTGTAAGAAATCTCATGTCTGGCATGTCTGCTGTCCTTGATGGAAGACCTACATTTTTTGTACTCATATGCCCTTGTGTAAGAAGTCTCATGTCTGGCATGACTGCTGTCCTTGATGGAAGACCTACATATTTTGTATTCATATGCCCTTGTGTAAGAAGTCTCATGTCTGGCATGACTGCTGTCCT